AAAAATTATATTTCAAATTTGGCTCGATAAATTTTCATTATTTTTATGGAGTATGTTATTTAGACGTATACACGTGTCATACGTAAATGGCAAGCCCATTCAATGCTTATGATGGTTTCTATAGTTGGTAGAAGATAGTCCTGCTCCTTACTGAGCTACCGATTTTTCAGAAGAAAAAAATTATATTTCAAATTTCGCTCGATAAATTTTGATTATTTTTATGGAGTATGTTATTTACAAGTATACACGTGACATAATTAAATGGCAAGCCCATTCAATGCTTATGATGGTTTCTATAGTTGGTAGAAGATAGTCCTGCAACCTATTACTCTTATTTTTGTTGTTGTAAATATTTAGTTTGGTAGTACCTGCATAAAATACAAAAGAAATCTATGTGTTCTAACACTTGAGTAGAACATGGCACATCAGGTGGTAAGCAATTGTACTGTAAGCAATTGTAAGCAAGATGTACTGGTTTTGAAGTCATACACTGTAAATTTTTAAACTTATTTCCTAAATCAATAGCCTACGATGGAGCTAGTCCAACTTTTACTCCCACTAGGAGGTACGATGTGAACAGCCATACAAGTGCAGTAGCCGACCATGGAGCAGGTACAGGTAGGCTAAGTATTCTACAGATGCATTTTATTTTATTTCTTGGGTATCTTAAGAAATAATGATCATATTACATAAAATTCATTAAAATTGTGTAAACGATTTTTTGGATATACATTTTTTATTAAATGGGAAAATCGGTAGCCTAGAATTGAACAGGCACATCATTAAAATCAGTAAAATCATTAGCCTACGAAAGTGCAGACTGCAGGTCCAACTTCTAACTCATACAGAAACCATCATAAGCATTTGAATGGGCTTGCCATTTAATTATAACATGTGTAGAAGTCTAAATAACATACTCCATAAAAATAATGAAAATTTATCGAGCGAAATTTGAAATATAATTTTTTTATCTGAAAAAAACCGTAGCCCAGTAAGGAGCAGGCCTATCTTCTACCACCTATAGAAACCATCATAAGCATTGAATGGGCTTGCCATTTAATTATGTCACGTGTATACTTGTAAATAACATACTCCATAAAAATAATCAAAATTTATCGAGCGAAATTTGAAATATAATTTTTTTCTTCTGAAAAATCGGTAGCTCAGTAAGGAGCAGGACTATCTTCTACCAACTATAGAAACCATCATAAGCATTGAATGGGCTTGCCATTTACGTATGACATGTGTATACGTCTAAATAACATACTCCATAAAAATAATGAAAATTTATCGAGCCAAATTTAAAATATAATTTTTTTATCTGAAAAAAACCGTAGCCCAGTAAGGAGCAGGCCTATCTTTTACCACCTATAGAAACCATCATAAGCATTGAATGGGTTTGCCATTTAATTATGTCACGTGTATACTTGTAAATAACATACTCCATAAAAATAATCAAAATTTATCGAGTGAAATTTGAAATATAATTTTTTTCTTCTGAAAAATCGGTAGCTCAGTAAGGAGCAGGACTATCTTCTACCACCTATAGAAACCATCATAAGCATTGAATGGGCTTGCCATTTACGTATGACATGTGTATACGTCTAAATAACATACTCCATAAAAATAATGAAAATTTATCGAGCGAAATTTGAAATATAATTTTTTTATCTGAAAAAAACCGTAGCCCAGTAAGGAGCAGGCCTATCTTCTACCACCTATAGAAACCATCATAAGCATTGAATGGGCTTGCCATTTAATTATGTCACGTGTATACTTGTAAATAACATACTCCATAAAAATAATCAAAATTTATCGAGCGAAATTTGAAATATAATTTTTTTCTTCTGAAAAATCGGTAGCTCAGTAAGGAGCAGGACTATCTTCTACCACCAATAGAAACCATCATAAGCATTGAATGGGCTTGCCATTTACGTATGACATGTGTATACGTCTAAATAACATACTCCATAAAAATAATGAAAATTTATCGAGCCAAATTTGAAATATAATTTTTTTATCTGAAAAAAACCGTAGCCCAGTAAGGAGCAGGCCTATCTTCTACCACCTATAGAAACCATCATAAGCATTGAATGGGCTTGCCATTTAATTATGTCACGTGTATACTTGTAAATAACATACTCCATAAAAATAATCAAAATTTACCGAGCCAAATTTGAAATATAATTTTTTTTATGAAAATTTGGTAGCACAATAAGGTGCAGGCTTATCTTCTACCACCTATAGAAACCATCATAAGCATTGAATGGGCTTGCCATTTAATTATAACATGTATAGAAGTCTAAATAACATACTCCATAAAAATAATAAAAATTTATCGAGCCAAATTTGAAATAATTTTTTTTTTTTTAATCTGTAGCTCAGTAAGGAGCAGGCCTATCTTATACCACCTACAGTAACCATTATAAGCATCGAATGGGCTTGCCATTTTATTATGGCATGTATATACGTGTAAATAACATACTCCATGAAAATAATAAACATGAATCAAACCAGATTTGAAATAATACACTTTACTCATTCTGTTGATTGTACCAGTTGTTGAAGCTGTTTTTGTTTACTGTAACACTGTTACAATCTCGTACGTCGGGAGTATATTTCGTGATTCAATATTATGGTATAACAGTAACAGTGTTATATCATTATTTTTTTTCGTATGTGCCTCGGTTACATTTATTAATCAAATGAATTAAATTTAATATTAAAATAGGCTGAAAGGAATGTTTACATATCTCTGTTGCGAGTAATGCACTTTGAGGTTAGTGGTTCATAGAGTGATACAATGGAATAACAACAAGTGATATTAATGGTTATTGTACTTTATTTAGGCAACTCAGTTATATAAAAATGGTACATTAGTAAAACAAACACTTAAACACTGCTCAAAATATATGATTTCCACATTTTTCAGTGAAACATGCATTTGAGGTTAGGAAGTTCTGAAGCCACGGCCTTCTTGATCTGCTGATCTGACGTTGACGTCATAGCTTAATGTTGGTTTATTGGCAGTTTTACATCCATGAAATTGCTGCCAATGCAAATTTAGGGTAAGCTTATTGGCCTCAATTTTTAATCCAAATGATATTTCGAGTAAGACCCCAAGTAAAGTACTAGCCCACACCCTAGGCCTAAGTGTAGTAACTTAAGTTAATTACGCTTGGGCCTAGCTTGTAGCATTAAAACAAACATATGCTAACTTAGGCCTAGGCCTAAACTCAGATTGGAGTAAGTAAGTTAGGGCTAGTTTCAGCTTAAGTAAGGCCAAAATGCTTGAGAGAGAATTTGCAATAAGACATTTTTTTATTGACCGTTAAGTAAATACAAAATACAATAGGTCTTGTTCGCCAATTTTAAAATAGGCCTAATGAGTTAGCTACATAAAATAAGAAATTATATGGCGAGTCAGGTACAGTGTGGTATTGGCTTAAGGACTATTAAACAAACATGAATCGTAAATAATTTAAAGACAAAACAATTAATAAACATTTCAGAACAAAAATAACAAAACAAGCCTAAACTATCACAATTTCTCGCTCAAAGTATTCCTCCACCGAGTACATGGGATTTTCCTGTAGCCATTTATAAAATTTAGTTAGAAACATTTTATCAGACTTTAAATTGACTAGGCAAGTTGGTAATTTATTGTATAATATCACAGCCAAATAATCATGGTATTTTTGTGCCACACCTAACCTACATCTAGTAATATATATTTATTGCAGTAGCAAGTCCCCAAGTTATAAATAGGCCCTAGGCCTGAACTTGACTCTCCGAGTGTTTAGCGTCGCGTAATCGACGCACAACACACCCGCCGTTGTGTTATGCGTCGCTTTTGCAACACACAAACATTGTTTACGGCAAAGGCTCTGGGACGGACTGAATCAGATTGAACTGGATCGAGATTGGTGTTGTTGTTTTCAGCAGATTCTAAGCTTTCTCCTGATGTCTGTTTCTAGACGCTTTTCACTTTAGTTCTGAAAATATTGTAGCAGATAGATGACGTGCGTATTTGTAAACAACTTGGTTAACCTCGCACCGATGACTGATGTGTTGTATTACGTTTATCATTGTTTTAGTAGGCCTAGCCCATTAAAAATAAAAAGTAGTGATACAAGTTATGTGGTGCATTAAAAGAAGATTTAAGTGATTTTGAAGGGAGCTCCAACCTAAAGGTGAGTGAGCGTAGCGAACGAACTTCAACCAGAACGTGATTGAGCCATGCGAACAAGATCATCTTGAAATTTAAGAAGTTAAACGGGGCAAAGCCCGCGAGTTACAGCTAGTAAATTATAAAAATTTATTTAGCGCACGCAAACATAAATTTTCTTTCATTTAGGCCTAGGCCTACCCTAAGTATTTTATAATTTTAGAGAAATGTTAGGCCTAGATCTAACCCCACAAAAATTTTTGAAATTTGTTTGTAATGTCTTACTACTTATATTACATTGAAGCCCATAATTTTACAAACAAAATGATAAAACATAAGTGATACTTTAGAGTATTTTTCCAAGATAGGCTACATTAATAAAACCCTGCGATTGCGCAATAAATGGGCCGACATTAATACCATTACTAAGTATGGACACTTGGAAGGTGTAGTACGCTAGGGGCCTAGCTTGTAGCATTTAAAAAAACAACACTTAGGCCTAGGCCTAAACTCAGATTGGAGTAGGCCTACATTCAGCTAGGCCTAGGCCTAGGCACTAATGTCCAAACTTAAGTTAGGTCAAAATTTTTTAGAGAGATCTGTAGTGACATGAAGGATGATTTCTTCCTTGAACAACTAGGCTAGGCCTAGCTTAGGTCATAGCATAGATAAAACATATAGTCTTGCACCATCTTGAATATAGGCCCTAGCCTAGGCTAGATTGATATAATCATGTAGGCCTAATGGCCATTTAAAAATATGGGATTTGATCCTCCTAGTCAACCTCACAAAATGCTAATAATATGAAAGGGTGTAGGGTAAGTCTACATACCTGTGCGAACGTAGACTGTTTTAAAAACTTGTAAAATTTACTTCTCCGTCCCCCTTTGTCAATTCAACATACGCAAACGATGGTTACGTTTACGTTGCAGGTTGCAGGTAGTAACAAAACAAATGAAATTGGCGAAATTGGGGAAAGTGGAAGGGAAGGAAAGCCAATTAAAGTAGGCTAGTAGGCTAACTCACTTTCCTTCCAAAGTGTAGTGTAGTGAGTGAAACTAAAATTGACTAAAAAACTGAATCTGTTGAAACTGAGCAACAGAAGAGAGCAAAGCAACAGTAAATTAATTCTAACTCTAGTCTAGTCCAACCAAGGTCTAGTTCTAGTTCTAGTCTAGTCTAGTCTAGTTCCGGACTTCCGGTAGTCCTCCAAGTCACGACACCTTTCCAACAGGAAGGAAGCCCCACCCCTCCAATGCCGAAAGCTTCCGAATCTTAACGAACTTAGCCGAACTGTTCACAGTAAATTGTAATCTCTATCACTGCCATGCATTCATTTATTCATACAAACGGCAAACGCCAATTTACAACAAACATGCAAACCGCAAACCATAGTGATATCAAACGTTAGCATATGTAATCTTTGGTGATATCTTTCTTCTAATATATAAAATTCTCGTGTCACAGTGTTTGTCTGCAAACTCCTCGGGAACGACTTCACCGATCGTTATGAAATTTGGTATGTAAATTCTGTAGGTATGCGAATCGGACGTAAACTATTTCCCGTTTCGAAATTCTTAAAAGGGCTCCGCCCCAGTGGCTCTGGAGTTTCCCATGTTAACCTTATGAGAAATGGAATTAATGAATCTTAACAGCTGTTTCAATTAAACAAGTTGGTTCTGTTCTATGATGTTCAATAGCATTAAAGTTACAAGGATTACCAACAGGGTGCAGCACTATTATTTCTTTTACATTTATGACAACAGCTAATTTGCAACCAAAAGGTGAGTGAGCGTAGCGAACGAACTTCAACCTGGAGGCGAGTTAGCGTAGCGAACGAGCTAACCTGAAGGCAAGTGAGCGCAGCGAACGAGCTCCAACCTAAAGGTGAGTGAGCGTAGCGAACGAGCTCCAACCCAAAGGTGAATGAGCGTAGCGAACGAACTTCAACCAGGACGTGATTGAGCGATGCGAACGAGATCATCTTGAAAATTAAACGTAACGGTACTTTCTTTCCATCGGTCTGTCTTAGGGGAAACCTATAACTTAGGCGATACGAGGTTCGCCGGGTCAGCTAGTTTGTAATAAAAAAATACTTATGTACAAATCAACAATAATAAAGTTTGAAATACAACAGTGATAATATGGCTAGTTTTATACAGCCATTTGAACAACAGAATGGAAAAAAGCAAAGTATGCAACACGATTGAAATATTTTGGCAGATAAAAACTCAGTCTTCTCAATAAAAATATAACACCGCACAGCGACTCAATAATATGATCTCCCTAGTCAAGGTGAGGGCCCAGAGTAAAGCCCAACAGATTTACATGATCAGTATGATCAGGAACAAAATTTATCATCAACTGCACGCACTAAAATTTATTTTTCATTTGTCATTGTCATCTATACCTCACGCATATTTATTTTGGTTTATACGTTTACGCATGCTCATCAGTGTATTTAATTCATATTATTGATCAAAACTGTTAAAATGGAGTTGAAATAAATGTTGAAATAAATGGAGTCCGTTGAAATGTAAAATAAAAATCAGTTCACTCAGCAGACTTTTCCAAACGTGATTGCCTGAGTCTAGGATTAATTGAGGATCAATTTGTTAACATTGGACCAGGCAGTGGCAGTAGCAGAAAAAAGAAAACTCTCAACTTTGGATTTTGAAAGCTTCAAAAGTAATTAAAGGATCTTTGGCAAACAAAGGTAGTGTCATATGCATAGATAATTAATACATTACCTGACACTGCATAGTAACGATCATTAATGGCCACCCCACCAAAAACAAAAAAGGGCCCAATATGGGGTCTTGAGGGACACCATGATTAACTGCCAAAGAAATGAAATGAAATGAAAATGATTTATTTAGTCAGGCAAAGTTAGGGCCACATGGCCCTCTCTTACATTTAACCTGTTTATACAAATCTAAACATACAAATAAAACAAAACAATGTACAATACAAATAAAATACTATAATCTATTTACAATATTTAATGTAAAAAGAAACAATACACTTTTAAAACATACCACCTTACATAAACACCCACACACACACACACCTACACACGTACACGCACACACACAACACACACTCGCAAGAACTAGCACACACACACGCACACCTGTCAGTGATCAACCAAGCGCACGCCTAGGATATACCAACCACGGCCATACGTCCAGAAAACAGATTTTTTAGTGCTGTCACAAACCGGGGACGGCTATCAAGGGTTTTTATGGCTAGAGGGAGATCATTCCAAAGGCGACAAGCAGAAACAACAAACGCTCTGTCATAAACTGCCGTTCTATGATGAGGCATACGCAAAGTTACTGAAGCAGAACGTGAGTTTCTTACACTTTCTTCAGCTACAAATTTGAAGTCGTTTAAAAAATATTTTGGAAATTTTGTTTTTAATATTGAATAGGTTATCATAAGAATTTTTATTGATCTTAGGTCACATAGTTTTAGTAATTTAGAATCAACATAAAAAGGAGTGATGCGCTCATTACGTCTCAGATCATAAACAAATCTTAAACAGTAGTTCTGAGTGCGTTGGAGAGCATCAGCGAGATTTACAGTCATGTCATTGATCACAGAGTTACAGTGAAAGAAAGAAAGGGGTGGAATTTCTACCATTCTTCTATTGGCTGTCATGGAGTGACGTCTCTCTTCTCTTGAGGGTTGAGACGTCACTCTTTGTTGTTTGTTGACTCATTTGGATTTAAATAATAATCGATATTTTAACTATATCAATTATAAAATTAAACTGTCATAACCTTACCTAACTAAGTTAACCAAACTTGCTGGATAGTGAAAAAATCTAAAACTATATAATAGGAAATAGTTCTGTTCGTAAAATAAAATTATAAATGCCTCAAATTCTAACAAAAGCTTATGTACGAGTAATTGCATTCTAAGCAAAATCTTTGACAAAAAGTTAGTGTCACCGGTAAAATTCGATCTGATTACATCATGTACATCGGCAGGATCCAGCCGAGTACTCTACGCACTACGGCCACTACACCCACCCTAAACACTGCCGATGGCTGAAGAGAGTGACGCCACGCCATGACAACCAATGGAAAGCTCTCATCTCGTCCGTATCGAAAAACCACAGCTGTAATAAAATTGTGCGATCCAAGTCCTCCTATTCCTAGTCTCAATTCATGGAATCGGAGCGGAATTGTATCGGTAGACTCAACAAGAGACACAACGAATCAACGATACCGGAACTTGGAACCGGATACAACACAATGAGATACAACCGGTTGTGTGAGGCTTAGACTAGAAATTATTTGGACAAAATTCGTCAATTCAATTCCGCCTTTGCCATTGTCAGCTCTGAAGCTAATTTAGATGAGAGGGTCACACAGGGAATCTACAAATTTCTAGATCCATGAGACTTGAAAGAAAAGATTCAATGAAAAAAATATGTGGGAAATAAGGTCACATTGCCAACCCATTTGCCCAATATTTTCAAACTGTGGCAGAAATGTGTAGGGACGAGAGCTCCAAAGAGTCAAGTGAGATTCCTATGTACATAATAAGAGACAAAATAAGTGAAATTTCCTCACTACAATGGTGCTACCTGTATAGATGTCACCACTATTTTTAAAGCTGAAAACAGAGGACCACCAGACCAATTTTTTTTTTTTTTTTTTCAAAAAGTAATAATGTTAAAAGCGAATCCGTTCTAGATCCGTCGTTAGATCCACTTGCTTGCCCTCTAATGTTCCCAACCGGAGACTTTGGTTGGGGCCCCTAATTTAAACACGCCTTAAACAGAAACTATCGTTCTGAAAAGCTAACGATAAACTAGCTACTATGTGAAGTAACAGTGTTTGGTTGACTTCTATGTTCTCATAGAGGGGACCCACTTACAATACATAAGAGAGATGACCAAAAGCAGTATGAGAGCGGATCTATATTGTAGGTTGAAATATTGTGTTAGTTTTATAATTTGTTTCAACATATGTTTCATATTTCTATAATCAGCCATAGACTTTTAAATTACTCTTTGATTGAGTTCTCACGGTTTATGTTTTTGTTGTTTATTTCTTTGGTTACAAGTTTCAGTTTTGCTCGATTTTGAGCAACAGGTTATCTAGTCAATGATATTGTTGGTAAAGGTGTGTAGGCCTACAGTAGTCCAGTCAAGGAATGGAATGAGGTGTAGAGTGCGTGAGCAGGTAACTAAAGCGATTCCTTCAAAAACTTGTTCAGGGGGCTTAGGGTGTTTGTTAACACACCAAAAGTCCTAGGTGGTGAGCCAGGGGTTGGAGGGGGGAAAGGTACGCATTTTGGGTTTTTTGATTATATCTCGAAAACTAACAACTTTATATATATACTAGCTGACCCGGCGAACTTCGTATCGCCTAAGTTATAGGTTTCCCCTAAGACAGACCGATGGAAAGAAAGTACCGTTACGTTTAATTTTCAAGATGATCTCGTTCGCATCGCTCAATCACGTCCTGGTTGAAGTTCGTTCGCTATGCTCACTCACCTTTGGGTTGGAGCTCGTTCGCTACGCTCACTCACCTTTAGGTTGGAGCTCGTTCGCTGCGCTCACTTGCCTTCAGGCTAGCTCGTTCGCTACGCTCACTCGCCTCCAGTTAATTGAAACAGCTGTTAAGATTCATTAATTCCATTTCTCATAAGGTTAACATGGGAAACTCCAGAGCCACTTGGGCGGAGCCCTTTTAAGAATTTCGAAACGGGAAATAGTTTACGTCCGATTCGCATACCTACAGAATTTACACACCAAATTTCATAACGATCGGTGAAGTCGTTCCGGAGGAGTTTGCAGACAAACACTGTGACACGAGAATTTTATATATTAGATATATTATACTAAATTATAAAATTGAAGAAGATTAAATTTTCTACAAGAAAAGTACATAATGTGTTTAATTTTGTTAAACAGATTACGAGTTATTACTTATTTTGCACCCTAAGCCCCCTGAACAAGTTTCTGAAGGAATCGCTAGTTACCTGCTCACGCACTCTACACTCACTTTTGGATCATTCATTGACTGGACTACAGGTAAATGTGGATTGGATTGGAACATATTGGAATATTGGAATATCAAATAAAAGTGGATGAAAGATGGAATGGTGGAAGCAGCTTTATGGAACGAACTACATTAGAATATAGAATGATGGAGATTGGACATTGTGCTGTGTTGCTAGCATAGCGATGAATTATCCATTTAGGGAGATATATAATCAATGATAAAACGATGCTACCCATGTGCAAATTGCAGAGTTTAAAAGGAGCCCAAAACTTGTTTCCAAGGGTCCAAAATGAATCTAGTGCAATAAGTAAATTTACCGTCCAGATTTGCAAAAGATGCAATACACTACTTTGTGTTATACCATTGAATATTGGATACTGAAGGTTATACCCATGGATTTATATGCATTTATGGCTGAGTGATCAAACTAGATGCCATAGCACAGTTGCAGTTTACAGCATAATGGATTTTCTATAACAGACAGGAATTTTCACGTCAATACATGGCATGGTGTATATCAATTAATTGTTGATGTGTTTATAAGGGTCGAGGGGGAATAGCTGGCACTGGCAGTTGGCATTTGTTAGACGAGAATAATCAAAAACTCTGTGCTGTGTGTGCTGTGTTCTTTCTAGTGGGGCCTTGGCTGTGTGCTGAACTTATATGTATTCATTCAACGATAAAATATGAGCTCTGAACCTCCAACTATGCGCCCAGATTTGATAGTTCGTGTTTTTCACAGAAGATTAATCAACTCTTGAATAAAAATAAGAAGTATTCGTCCTTTCTGATCCACGCAGTACGAATAAGTTTATGCTGATTAAATATAGGATTAATAACGACAGCTGAATGAATCTTGCTTCTGAATAACCAGCAGTGTATCGGGCTGGAATCCTGCGGAGAAGACCTTCCACAATGGAGAAGAGCAGCACTAATAAGCAGCGTCCTCTTATGTGATCTTTGTTTAGTTTAAAGATTGACTTATATTGTCAATGGTTTAAATCAATGACCGGTATTATATTCAATCAAGCGTCTACTACTATAGCTCAATGGCCTCGGTAAATTATAGCCGGTTGGTTACGGTAAACAGTTTGATTGAGTATTACATGTGTTCCTCGCAGTATTCCGAGCTTTCATCAGTTTATAGTGTTAGGTGTGGCTAGCTTGTTTTATTTTTTATTGCAGTAGAATTTGTAGATTAAAAATAGCAATGCAGGGTTTTATAAGTTGTGAAATGAATAAGTGACGGTTAAATTGAAGATTCGTGGAGTTAATTTTTAAATTTATGAATTATTTATGCTCTCATACAAATTTTACCCTTTATGAGCGTGGTCTGATCTATAAATGGATTGAATTAATGCTGCAGACGACGGCGGTCTGATTAGCAGACGACAGGCAGTTGTATTGTCAAGTCGTCGATTGACAGGAGGGAGATAGGATTGACTGTTCGCAATGCAGATTTTAAATCTAGGATCCGCCTTGTTTGGTGTAGTCTTGATATTCCTTCTAATGGAACTGACAGGTAATACTTCTTAATCAATCATGAACTTCAGTTAAAACATCTTGCATCTCTTTCACTATTATTAGCGATAATCTTTTGAATGATCGGTTAAGGTTTTTTTTATGTCATTGTGTTTCTCTTGGAATGCCATAGGCCTTGCCACATTTTAGGCCTAGTCTAATCCTCTCTAAGGGAAGTAAAAATATTCATTCGTTAAGAAATACAAGATTGATAAACATTTTATTCATGGCACTCTTTGAGTTTGAATAAGTAGTGTTGACAAGAGATAACTTTGGTAGGCAATCTCCAAGCATTACAACTTGTCTATATTGCTGTATTACTGATCACTTAAGAATAATGATAGAGGAGAATGTTACAGTAGGGATGAGCATCGATAGGTCAACCATCGATGTTCACCATTTATGGTAACATCGACGTCAACCATCGATGTACCGATCATCGTTGAAAACATCAATGTTTTTGGGACTAAAACATTGATTTTTTTCAACGTTTTTACAGTTTTTCAACTGCCTTTTGTACTCTCCAGTAATGGAAAACATCGTTATCTCAATACTTAGCCTAGCCAAAAACATTGATGTTTGATAAATGTAAAAAACATCGAACATTGATGTTTAGAAAATATTGACTATCGATGCTCATCCCTATGTTACATTAGAATCCCAATCACTGTAGCCTACATCAAATGACAGTGAAAATATGTCTGCTTTCAGAAATAAGGAATGTGTTTTTGTGGATTAGGACTCAATAATTTAAATCATACCTAACCATTCTTACAATGGTGAGCATACATTCTGTCCTACTAATGGAAACTAACCAGTCATATCATATAAAGCCTACCTAGTTTGAAGTAAATTTTTACATTACGGACACATGGGAATTTAAGTAATTTCAACACTACCGGTAGGCCTACTTAAGTTAGGCCTAAACTTACCCTAAGCTACCTAACAGGGGCGGCTCCAGAGGGCAGGCCAGGTAGGTACGGGCTTACCCAAAATTTTGGTAGATATTTAAAATATCTATAGAAAATATAGATATTTTAAATATATATAATATTCATCATAGTTTTTTACTTCCCATAGGGTCTTTGGCAGGTCCGTATCTCTATTTTACTTTTCATACAAAGTAAGCTGAAAAATTTTGCGGGGGACAATCTTTATGCAGTATATTAAAAGAACATTTTGAAAAGATACAATAGAAACTAAGAAATAAGTAACCAGTTACAGTAACTTAGTACCTATGTTTTTTGAATAGTTAAAACTTTTTATTTAAATACGGCAGCTGAATCTTTTTGGACTAATTAAGTTTAAATATTTTAACATATTCCCTTTCGTGCTCTATGTAAGTCGCTCCTTTAATTCAGTAAAGTGATATTTTTCTCTATTGATTTTTTTACCGATGGATTACACAAATCCTAAGGCTTGAACAAACAGCTTTTTGACCTGGTGTTCAAAATGAGTAGGAGTCTCATCCATTTCAGAGTTTGTGTTTTGTTTTTTTTAATTTATTGCCTTTTGAATGCAAGTAAAAACATAATTAAGCCTTTCTGTTTTACTTTTTACTGTATAACATCCTTTTATGATGGGCTAATTGAAAATGTCAGCCTCCTGAGTGGTTCAGTTTCCTTAACATAGGTATTTGTTTTTAAGTTTTTACTGACTTATTGTAGCTTTTAGAAAACAGGAATGATCAAAACTTAAATCTTTGTATGAGATTTCAATCACACATCAAGCTACACTATTGAGTTTACATTAGGTAAACTTGCTTTACTGCTTTTCAACATTTTTTCCAATACAATTACCGAACTGAACAGCAAAATGTGTAACTTGTTTGTGTGTATATATATATATATATATAAAGGGGTTTCCATACTTCTCCAAAATGTTTTGCTCTTAGGCCTAGCCTACTTAGATTTTTATGTAGACAACTGTACTATGTGCCTACTTTGAACTTAAATATAGACGACCTTTATGAAATCATAAGCTCCTTGTAAATATGATGATCTTGTAGTTGTTTTAATTATTCAAACATTATTACCCTATCATCCATTCATTTATTCTGACGTGAGGTATATTTATTTGTCGCCTACACCTTCTGGGTGCTTTCAACAATACCTACCTTAATGGTATCGTTTGTTTCTACCCTACTGCGTTACTAATTAGGTAGCTATGAAACTTGAATGGGTTTAATTTAAAATGAACAGAAATTAATAATAATAATTTATAGTCTTGAAACATTGTACCAAACCTGTTAAGGTTGACATTTCTGTTTTGTCTGTTAGTAACACATGAAGTTGGACTTCATTTCAGTCCTGGGACGGAAGTCGACTTGTTTAATCCTCGTAAATTACCTCCTGATGGTTCGTCTTGATTAATATTTACAGCCTCAATAAAATGTGTTAATCTCATTAATGCTGTCTAACAAAAATTTGTTAGCCTACTAAGATTTGTGCAGTAAACGTTTTATGAAGTTGGTTAGAAAAATGTAACTAACCTACTTTTGTGATCATTATTATTGGCTATTTAAAGCTTCATGTTATTAGCTAACTAATATTGCAATTGAGTGTTATATTTTTTACATTTGTCCAAAGTGTGGTATCCATGCTTTAAGAGATAATCTTTTTTATTGTTTTAATAGGTGGTAATGTAATGAACCATTGTGAAAGGGTTGTAAGAAAAAATTATGTTTTTCAGTCTATCTCATTGGTTAAAAAACAGTGTATTAGAAAGGTTTTATGCTGTTAGATAAATTATTTGATGAGTGTGAAAGTTTTGGGTTTTTTGGTGTTTTTTTATTTTGCAAAGCATTTAAGTCAGATTTCATACGATTTCCTCAAGCTTTAATGCAGAACAATAACTAGGTACCTTGTTTTAAAGTAAACTTGAATTTTTACCAATATTCAACTTCTAAGGGGATTTCCTTTGTGTAACTAGATATTTCCCTTAAAAAAATAAACTTCCTGAATTTTCAAAATATTTTTCAGCTTTGCACTGTAGGCAACTGTACAAAGTTGAAAAGCTGGTCACTGTGCTTAGTGTGTTCCAATGGCAGTTTTGTATTCTTTATATACAGGCGAACCTCGGTAATCCCAATTGTTCAGCAAAGTGATTAATCCTTTTAGCCCTATCAACAAATTTGTGTTAGTGCAGGGAATAAAAATGAAGGCTAAAACAGCTTGAATCGTTATTGAAAATAAATTGAGAAATGCATCTTTGACACAGATTAAAATACGATTTAGCTTGCTGATAGCTGCTTATCTTCAATGTCTGAATAAATCCAATATAATTTAAGGCTGTTAGAGCTTTGAGCTTTTTGAACTACATAATACTGGAGAGTGTCCGAAACACAAATTTTGAATTACTAAAGTTTTGAGACATTGAGGTCCGAAGAAATATTCTAACGGCTTTAGTGTCAATGCACTGAAAGGTCTGTACTTTTTGCGATTACCAAGGCTTGCCTGTATATGTTAAGTGAGGTAGTGTAGTGTGGTTAGACTGAGTAGACAGTTGTAGCTGGTGTGGAGGAGAACTGCACGGATTTCCAAGGCAACACAGTCGTCCACGGACTACTCTACATCCCCGGACCCAACGTCTGCTCTCTGTGCGTCTGCTATCACAACAAACCTGAGTGGTGCAAGACCATCTTTTGCGATGGACCTCCATGGGTATGTACCAACTCATTAGACCACTACATTAGAACTCTAAATATTTGATAGCTCAAATATAAAACTAAGTAAACCAAGTCAGAAGTGGGAAACAAGATGAGTAAACAGTTTATTTTTAATAATTTAGAAATAAAAGAAGGAGTATTTATTTGTCTATTCTTCATATCCTAGGATCCTAGGCTCTCCACTCAAGTCTAAAACTGTTTACATATTACTTCGGGCGAGTCAGATAAGGCCACGGCATCATAACGTAGCTAAAAACCATAGGTGGTTGATAGAAGAACCAAAGACAGAAACCCCTCGCTCTAAAAGTAGACCAGCTTACTCCCCTAATTGGGCAAGTATAGTAGACATTCTTTAGGGCACTGTTCATTCACATGCAGCATAGCTATACAGTGAAGTCAACTACAGAACAATTGTTACCTACTAAATTTACCTGCTAAAAACAACTTACAGGCGTGATTTACAATATACCAGCTGCCATGTTTCTGATCACAGTTTTGTTTTTATACTGACGAAGACCAGTCATATAAACTGAACATTAGGCAAAACTAATGGTTGTGCCCCTTTACAATATCAGGGTGTCCACCAGTCGGGAAACTATGAATTATGCTGGAGTTTTTTTAACCGGGAATTATGGGTGAATTTTGTATTTCTTCCTGGAATTTTCAATTTACCGTGTTTGCGCATTACCACAGTGACCTATCTGTGATTACCATTTTGCCGCGATCGTGGGAGACAATTCACTGCCGCGCGGGATTATAAGAATTTTACCATGATCGCGCAAGATGGTACTGTCCACACGATTGCGGGAAATCAAAAGATTTTTGCCTCAATTGTGGAAGACGATGATGATCTCCACATGACCACGGGAGATGATTACCATTTTGCCTGCAATCACAGGAGACAATCTTCACAGCCCAGAGAGATAATCAGAATTTTGTCCTTATCGCAGAAGATGATGATAATGTCTACACGATTGCGGGAAACAGTCAGAATTTAGGCGTGATCGCGGAAGACAATCATGATCTTCACACGTCTGCGAGATATGATTAACTTTTTTCCTCAATCGCGGGAGACCTTTACTATGTCTACACGGCCGCGAGGGATTACCAGAAGTCTACGACAATCGCATTCAAATACAACTACCATTTGATTTATTTTCCAATTTTTTGGCGCCCCCCAAAAAGCCTATTGCCTCGTGTCCTAGACTTGTGCCTACCGTGCCTATCATAGGGTCAATAGGCCCTGCATTGCTGGGTCCCATTTAGTCTGTATTAGCAAGACTTCAGTCTATACGTTTTTGTTAGAAATATATTTCCTTGTTAAGAATATAACAAGTTGAAGATATTTAGAGTTCTACTGTAGTACAGTACCGGTAGTTCACTTTTACTTGATCTACTTCTTGTTATCTACTGTCATAGGTAATGCCGTTGACTATTCTGTGTATATAGTCAATGATAATGCCCTTGGTAGATTTCTCATTCTTGGAACAGCTGAAGCCAATTTTATTGTTAGTTCTGTCAAGTGTACTGTAGAGGTTGTGTTTTGTTAATAATTTTTTTTGTGTTATTTCCGTAATTTAAAACCTCGTTTAACCAAATAAAACAATCTAATCATAACAATAACTTGCCCCCTAGTTATGTAACCAAACAGTAAACCATAAACATGAAATTAAACCTAAAAGAATAGAAACAAAATCTTGTCGACACTAGCAATCAGTGTCACCGAATATGAACTAGACACGAAAAATGAACTTTATTTACAATGGGATGAGAAGTCTACTTGTGTTTGTTAGTCTATGGTAATAATAGATGTTCCATCCCCATGTTAAAGTTGTCGCCAGTTTTTTATCTAAATCGTAGTAGTTGATGTGAGCCTCCGACAGATTGTGCTGATCTAAATGACTAATTTCTGGTTAATGAAAAATATAATTGTGACACAATCTGTGTCTAGCTACACAACTATGTTATTTAAAAATAAAATATTGGCAACAGCTGGTTCATATCGATTAGATACAGTAGACACCTAATTTTCACCACCCTTTTGATGAAATTCCATAAGAAGTTTAAGTAGGTTTAAAGTGTATTTGTCACATATTCATTATAATATATCAGGACCAGGGAATTCTTTTAGTTTTTATTGTGTAGGTACAGTTAAAATCATTTTCATCAAACAAATTTCTTATATCATTAATCAAACCAGGCAAGAAAAAAGTTTTGCGTTGAGATTCAAGAATCCATTTTTCAGATTCGGAATTTAGTTTTGAGGTTGGAAATTCCTAGTTTTGACCATCATTAGTTGTCTCAAAACCAATTTTACAAATATGAATTCTACATCTAAGTATGACCTCAGTGTGTGTTGTGCAGAAACGCTGCAAGAAGTGGAGTATGGGAGAGGGCTGTTGCGACTTTACTTGTCTGGACGATCCAGCGGATCTCTTCCGCCCTCGACGCCGCAACTCCGCCCCTAGCAGACGGCTCAGCATCCCTTTACTCACACTTGTAGCCACCCTACTGTACAAGCTATAACATACATATCTGCACTGAGGTTGTGAGCTTGTCTACTCACGTTAAAGAAGAGATTTTACATGAAATTGTACAGTAGTAACCCTTGACTACAACTGTTGTAAGCTTTGACTAATGACGGCACATTACCGATGTAACAATTACTTTCTGGTATGTGTGACAGGATTAAGAAGCTTTCAGCTATGCAATGATCTGGATATTTTGGAATAAAATCCTTTACTCAATTCCACATTTACTGTGCAGTACCATTGAAGAGATTAAGAAAGTTAAGTTTGCTATCAACACTGGAAATACCATGTTTATTGTCATGCGAGTTGTATCAACTGGGCTCTGACTTTTGTGAAGGTGATATGCATTTTACCATTTGACTAGCTTTTGTAACTGAATGCTTTTCATAAGGAAATATTGGTATTTGACTTGTGTATTGTCAACACGACAAGTAAGAATTATAAAAAAGTAAAAAATGAAGAAGTTTTGTGTATCCTATTTTTTAGGATGGCTGGTATTACTGTGACTGTTTTCAAACACATGACATATGGATGCTCCGTACTGCACGCAAAATGTGGAATTGAGTATAAAAGAAGAAGAGATCATTATCCGTCTACCTCTTCTAGATAAGTCAAGGAGTTGCAACTCAATTTATCTCCTTTGTCCATTTTAATCCTGTCATAAAATGTACAAAAATAAACTAGAGGGCTATTACAAATAGTTGTTACTTTTAGTTAATCTCATTGATCTCATTAGTGTTTTTTCTCTTAAGGAATTTGAAATATAGTCCTGAGATTTTTAAGACTAAAGAGGTGATAAAAATATTTCTAGCTAAGCCTTTATCTAAACGTGTTTACTATTTATTTAAAAGAAAATATGTTAGTACAGGACCATAAAGTCTTTGGTAATTTTATGTGTAAACCTTTGACTATTGATCCAATAGCCAATGGTAAAATTTAAATAACTAGTCATAGTACAGTGGAACCTCGATAACACATCACCATTGATAAAGTGTCATTTTCCAATCCCTTTAATTTATTTTACTCCCAATAACATGCTATTGCAAACCTCCATAACAACCCAACCTTGATAACAAGTATTATTATTAACAATCCCTATGAGAGTGTTGTTGTTGTTGAGGTTCTACTGATTTACAAAACATTTCTAGTCATTTTTAGT